CTTGGACCGTGAACTCTGGGATGTTCATGGCCACTGGGAAAAATATAGGTGTGGGGTGCCTGGGGCAGCAGGCAGTGTGTGTGTGGGGTCTCACTGCCAGTGCCTAAACTCGCTCTGCTCGATGCTTGGTGATAGCTGCTAGGCTCCACAGTCCCAGATCACAGTCTCGTATCAGTAGCTGTCACCGTAGCCCTTAACGCTGGCTGGGAGTTAAAAAATGACAGCCAACCTAGCGTTCTTTCTTGGCGAGGAGGGCTGGGTCCTCCTCAGCTTTGTTTTGATTTTTTTATCACTATTTCGTGTGGGATCATTGCCGTGGGGGAGCTGGGCGAAGAAAGGATTTGCATGAAGCTCTTGGTGCTGTGGGGTTGCTAATGGCGAGCATTATTTCAGCCGGCAGTAAGTTTCATAATCTTGGCCCAGCTCCTGTGAATATTCTGTTCCTCAGGGTCATGAGCCTCTTTCCCCTTCTTCCACCCCTTCCCCCTCTCCCCAAACTGGTTGGCAATTTCATTGTTCCAGTGGAATATATCCGTCATGTGAGGTCATCGCTGCATAAGGAGAGGTGATTGATTGCTTAGGTCACTGGGGCCTGTCCCATGCTGGGCTTTGAATGCTGGCTTGGAGACCTTGAACCGGACTCTGTGCTCAAAGGCGAGGCGATGTGGGGTGCAGAGGGGCACGGTGATGCATTCCCGGCAGCTTGAGTCGCCGAGCAGTCTGCTGCATTCTCAACTAGCTGGAGCGCTCTGAGAGCAGACGGCTTCATTCCTAGAGGCACAGTATCACAGCAGTCAAGCTCGAGATGTTACAAAAATACAGATAGATCATCATCTGCCAGCCAAGCCAGACAGAATCGGGTGCAACTCTTTTCCCATCCTCGGATGGAAGGGAGACTCTGCCCGCTTCTCACTAATGCGGCTGGTGTGTGCTCGGCTTCCTCCAGTTGCTCTTCAGTCAGAGCTGATCTCAGCTAGGCATCGAGAAAGCTGTGAGACTCTCAGATTTTAAGGCCAGAGGGACCATTTTGATCATCGAGTCTGACCTACAGCAGAGCACAGGCCAGAGAATTTCACCAATTTCATTTCCTGCATCAAGCCCATAACTTCTGATTGAACTGTGGCGTCTCTTTTAGAAATACGGCCGCGCGAAGGCTCCAGGCAGTAGGGAATACACCACCTGCCTAGGTGAATTGTGCCAGTGTGTGACCCTCTTTATTAATAGTATTGTTCCTCATTTGAATTTGTCAAACTTCAGCATTTTGTAACAGAAGGTTACAGATTGCATTTGATGCGAGGGAGCTACAGCGCGGGTATTGCCTGCTCACGGCTGGCGCCTCGGCTCTTTCATTCCTGTGACGGCTTTTGTATTTGGATATGATTTATCTTTGGGACCATGGTATACACGAGCCCTGGACACGGAGAAGGAGTTATCAGCAGGGAATCCTAGGGCTTCCCGGGGCATGGTATCATCTGAACTCTGGAGCTCAGGGTGCCACATTCAGGGTTTAGTCTGTGCTCCCTGTTCCGAGCAGGAGTGCAGCAGGCTTCGCTCCTAGACGTTAGGATGTAAATTCCCAGCCCCCTTGGTGAACTGGGGTACGTGCTTTGGGGCATGGCTGCTGACATCCTCTCTCTCACGTCCCAGCAGCGGTGGGTCTGTACTGCGGGAGACTTATAAAGAGGGATGAAGCACAAGCTGGGTCCCTGATGCTAGGGAACAGCAGCAGGATTAGTGCTTCCATCCTGCAAATGCAACGAGAGCAGCTCCTAATAGATTCGCCCTGGGGATCTCTGTTCTGGACCAGTAGTGTGGTCCATATGCAGTAGCAAAGAACGGTGTAATTCTTACTCATAGCTTTCAAGCACCGAGATTCACAAACTGAGCTCAATGAAGTGCCCTGGGGAAACAGCTTTGTCATTCACACTCTGTCATCTGTGCATCACAGGACTGGAACACTGCGATGAGGGCTCTGTACCTACAGTGAAAACACGCAGGTCCCTCTTTGGACCTTGGGAGTTGCCCTGTCTGTTTTTATCACAATTAGACCTGGGAAACAGATCTGAAAGCAAGAGCCACGCCGTGTGGTACTGGTGTGGAAACCCAGTCTCTCTGCTCTGGCACACAAAGGCCTCTCGAATGGTGTAAGGTGCATGGATACTGGGATTTGTAGGTCCAGGTAGTAAGAGCATTGGCATCCCCTCCTCCTCTCTGAAGATCTACCAGTTTATTCAGCATCCACACCGGGAGCTGCATGCAGAGCTGAATGAAGGGCGTTTGTCTCACTTGCCCTCCCAGCAGCAGGGTCAGTGCCCAGGACACAATCCCCACTGCCAGTGGCTGGCTGCAGCGTGCCCCAGACACGCTTTATCTGCTGCTTTGTCAATAAGCCACAGGGACCTCCATGCTCTGTTTTGAACATGGGTGCTCCATGCACAGTGGAGTCCAGCCCGCGCTGGCTGGCATTTTCACCTGAAACCTTCCTTTGGTCTCACGGCATTCATGCTGCGGGAGACACCTCTCTGCTTCTCCCAGCTCCTCCACAACCACTCCTGGGTGTACCAGTGCAGGACACACTCTCAGTCTCCAGCCACGATATGATTAGCAAGCCAGAATGTGTTGACTGAGACCGACTGACATTCCTGCACTCACCTGGAGCCACCTTTGGGGTAGGGGCACCAGGAGTCACCTGCTCTTCACTGCTGGCAGCAGGATCTGTGCATAGCAGTGTCTCAGATCCAAGGCTTCACACCCGATGGCCGGGCTGTCCCTTCCACAGCATTATGTGTACGTGAGCAGGCCAGTGCTGGGGCTCGCTCCTTCCCCTCCGCTCCAGTTACAGCCATCACCTGCTCCGTAAGGCTGAAATTCAGACTTCTGGATGTGAAAGCAATTCAGGATTTGGCTCTGTAGGATTTCTTACTCCCAGGCTTTAGACCCTGGGAATCCATGGTTGATGGAGCTCACAGTCTCAGCTGAGGAGTACAGCAAGGTCTCCATTATAAGACATCCCAGGAAGTGAGAAGCCTACATCCAGGCACGTTTCTGCTGGTAGAGTCATCTATGTTAGCAGGAGTGCTAGCGGTTACACATGCACCCCTAACATTCCACACTCCCCCCGTGGGACTGGCACCAACGTCCACCTGCACCTGAAGAAGATCTCCGCTCCTGGGGTGACACTGTGCAGACCCACATCTGCTGCCTGATGCAAAACTAGCCCACAGCCCCTGAAGACCAGAGGTGTAACTGAGGATGCCGTGCCACAAGCAGAGCAGGCCCTTCACCCCCAGGGAACTACTGAACCATGCGGTGGCCCCCCAGTCACTCCAGGCCACCTTGAACCACTCAGGCGGTTTGTGTGCCCTCTAGCCTGGGGACTCACACAAGGAGTTCCCCGGTGCTTGGAATTCCTTCCCTTTCCAAAGCCCACAAGAAATTCTGTTTGCGTTGCCAGACATGATCTTCCACGGCATCGCGATCATAATCCAGATGGCCAAGATCTCGCCACCCTCTGGCTTTGGGAGAAACTTGCTCCGTTCTGCTGCTTCTCTGTAGAGCTGCATTTCAATACAGAGTCCGCTCCAAGGTTTCGGGAGCAAAGTACAAAGAAATGCTGAGAATAGCTGCTCTTTTCTCCTCATCTTCATCTCAGGATCCCTCCAGAGACTGATCTTGCCCTGGAGGGAAGGGCAGGGCACATTAGCCGACAATTCCTTTTTTTCTGTGAACTTTGTTTAAATATTTAACAGAAGGAAACTAAAAATATCCCCAGTTAATGCAGCAGGAACTAGACAGCTACTCACTTCTGGGTGCCCTTCCTCCCAGCCCCTCTCCTCAGGTGTTCATCAGGGCCGTGAGCCCCCTTACAGAGGCAAGCACTGGGCTCTTCCCTCGGCAAGAGGGAGCTTCCCGTTCAGGAGGGGTCGCACTTTTAGTTCAGGGCATGGGCTGAGCAGAAGGGGGACGGCAGTAACCCCCCGGGAGCAACGCAGCTGGCTCAGGGCTGGAGGTGCAGGGTTGGTCTCTGAGTTGACTCCCTTGGCCGAGCATCCCCGTTTCTCCCTCCCAGCAGCCGCAGGAAGTCATGACCACGGGTTGTCGGCATGCGTGCCTTCCCCTTCACTATGAAGGAGTGAGCTGAATATCTGGAATGATTTTCTTGTGCATGCGTGTGCGTGCGGCCTTTGCTGCGGAGAGGATCCCGGGTCAGGCACAGCTCGCCAGGGAAGGGCTGGTGCTGCGCTGTGCCCCGGCGAGGGAAGAGGCGGACTGCATGAAGGGCAGCCCTGCTACCACCGGGACCGATGCCAGAGGGTGGCGTGCAGCCTGTGCAGAAATCCAGCCAGGGGGACCAGCCCTTGCTCTGCGTTACCGCTGCTGCCTAGTGCTGCTCTGCCATGGGAAGTGGGAGAGAAAAGGGAGGAAAAGGGAAGAGAGGGAGGGATGGGACAGTGCAGAGGACGCTAGGACAAGGAGTGTGGGACGGTAATTCCATGTTAGCTAAGAGGAAAGTAAATACTAAATATTTGATAGGCATATTTTTGCTCTTAAATTCTTTAGTAAGGCTGGACTTTTCTCGCTGATTCACTCTCTCTTTCTCAGTCTTCTTGGTTTATCACTCTCGTGCTTCCCCTCTTGCTCCGTCACTCTGGCACACAATGAAACGGCTCTTTTTTAATAAATGGATTACACGCTCTACACTATAAATAAACACAGGAATTAAGATTCCAACTTGTTCCAGCGATAAGCAAACAAAGATGCCTAATCCCCCTCTCGGCCCTCAGACAGGAGAGTCCCCGGGGAAGCTGCACATGTGCCTCTGCACGTGTGCTCCAGAGATTGCTCCTTGCTTTTGTGTGCATATGCTACCGCGCGTGTTTCTGTGTGGCGCTGAGGTCGGGGCGACCATGTACCTCCATGCAGGAGAGCACGCTGGCATGGGGGGCACGAGAGCAGGAGCGGGTGCACGTGTGGGTGCACGGGCGCCCCGCTGTCCTGACCGTGGGGGCCAGGAGCTCGCCCACTGTGGCGTCCACGGTGGCACACATGGTGCCACCCCATGGTGGGAGACAGCGGTCACTGCTGGGTGGGGGGACGCTGACACCTCTCCCTTTTGGTTCCCAGTGAAGAAGATGAGACAGGATCCCTGCTGAGCGAAGACGCTGTTGCATCTGAGATGGAGCCTGGTGCTTGGTAGGTTCAGAGCTTCCCACGTTTGCCGGCGATGCGGGAAGATGACGGGAGCGTGGGTGGTGGGTTGCTCCCGGCTGCTCTGGGCTTGGCTTTTTGACAGGAGGGACATTTCAGATACGGCTCTCTTCTTCCTCCTCCCCCCCCACCCCCC